GGAGCCCTCCACCACGGCGTCCCTAATAATCATATCGCATTTTCGGGACGTAAGACCTATATATATTATCAGTCGCTGTCTGCTTCGCATGAAACTGTTTCCCACAGCGTGTGGGATGGGTCAGATTTTCCCTGCACGGCGGCGCGTATCCTGCCATATGCACCGGCGCTCATTTTCTGCCCGCACACGGTGTATGACGAAGGACGTCGGGTACGATGCAACCGTTCTCTTTTTTGACCACTCCCGAATGTTTCGAAAGTTCAGCACTGGTTTCGCATATCAACAAAATGAGTTGTTCTGAAACACTAGGGAGATGGATAGCTTCAAATTTCGTCCAGCGATTCGGAGGGTATACTCTTTAGTCTCCGTCTAATTTGTTTTTTTCTTGCTTCAAACTGCTCGCCCTTTTTGAATTACAGCTTCGATATTGGTCAAAAATTTTCCGTCTGTTCTGCGAGGTCACACAATTTTCAAAACTATAGCGACGTCAGAATCACTTGCGGAAAAGAGGCAGGGTATTATTATTGCCGATATGCTCATAGCGGGCTCTTATATATGACCTTGTTGCCAGGGCATCCGAAGATAGCCTTTCACCGATCATTTTGGCAGCTGCTACTCATGGCAGCTAGTAAGAGTGAATGTAGTTACGTATGATAAGTATTTCAACCAATTATAATTATAACCAATTATAAGTATAATGCGGGAGATTCCTTTTGTACGCATATACCAAAATACTCTGCGTACTATTTATTTGTTTGAGGAGCACTCTATTACGCACTGTTACACGCCTCCACTACGTTTTGTACCCGCCTCAAGCAATGTGAAGTAGAGTGAAGCAGAGTAAATTATCACTTTTCTGTGGAACAACGCATTGAGAGGCTTCATTCCTAAGACCCGTCAAATGAAACGAATCTCAGTATTTACATTCTAGATGTGCCCAATTGCCATGAAACAAGCGATATGTACAGTATATTGACGACTGAATTTACTGTGTAATCAGCATGACGTACCGCGTGTCCAACATGGGGACAACAGCAGATATATATGACAGTGATAAAACAAGCCTGTCACTTCACTTTCGCTCTCTCTCTCGCGAGAACACCCGCTATCGTGGTCATGTTTCCAGCGTGACTTGTGTTCTCCCTCGGCTTATCGCCAGTGATTGCATGCGGCCTTGGGGGAGGTTTGATATCTCGCGCTTGACTCAGATGCAGCCACAGCTCTCAAAAAATCACACCACGGGCATTCGCTTATTGTTACGAAAAGAATGCCGGTGGGATCACATCGAAGCAATCAGAGGGGCTGGTGGACCATCCGCCCCACTATAGCTCCCTAACAAGGGGGAAGCCGCAGATTGTGCTCCATACATAGGACTTATAGGGAGGCACTGCATGCAGTGAACCTTACCGCCCCTCTCCCTCAAGGGGAGCTTGTGCGCACCTATATAGACAGAAGCTCAGAGAAATGACGGGGGAAGACTAAGATTTAGCGTGGAATATCAAACGTAACATATGCGTCAATGTACATGTGCATTGGATGTTTCTTCCTGGCTTCGGAAGGCACGCATTTTAGTGCACCACATCTATAATTACATTTTCTTAAGCCTAATATTCACGTCAGCTTTTAGGAGCTTCCTCGCCAAGGTTCTTATGCTCGGAGCATGTCCATTGGCGTGTACGCTAGAGGCACAACAATGCGACGTACCAACTACATGGCCACCGTAACTTTAATGAGGTAGGGGAGCATGCACTCACTGTGCAACTATATGCCATTCGTAGCTATGCTACGACGTAGTTATGTAGGCACCCGCTACACATCTGTAACGCATCATGAGCACTTTTTGCTGCGAAGGAGGCTCGTCGACAGGCGCACCCTGAGGTCAAAGCCTGTGAAGAAGAGGCGGCATGTAAGCGGCGGCAAGAAAACCTCGACTCTGGACCAGCATCGACATTGCTTTCTGCAACTTTCCACTGCAACCTCTAATTCAGCATCCCCTCGCCACATACTTCACCGACCACAAAATTGTAACCGTCAAGGGAAAACGCGTCTTACAGCTTTGTAATCAGTAATGTCATCCTTGTATTTAATGTGATTGATATGTGAATTATTAATGTTCTGTATATAAGTGTATGTACAATCACCCCCCCCCCCACCTCATACCAACTCGTAAAGTCTTTATATGATGGTATAAAACTTGAACAGAAGATTCATGGGTTCTTCTATCGATCAGTTCCGAGCAAGCTCCTCCATTATCGTTCACTTCGCGGAGATGGCAGAATTTTTTTCACGAAGTAAACCATGTGATTCTTTAAAAAACCTCACAGCTCTGTCGAAACCCATAGTTAAGAATCAAATGTTCCAAATCACGCCTTACAGTATTATGTAGAAGCATGCAAACTGCTATGTTGATATTTGTAATGCCCTAAAATTAAGATCAGATCTTCATTCGAAAAAATGCTATGATGCAGCTCTTTGGGTGATACCCAGTAAGTTTTACGTAAATCGTCAGCATGGGCCAGCAGTTTCTGCTACTATTCGACACGGCTATGTAAACAAATTTGCATGAGCACTGTGAAATAAGCGCAGGCACTGAAATGTAATAAGCCCTTCGAACAAATGTGTGTGCTATAGTCAAGAGGCAAAATTACATTAATTTTTCTGCCATGCTTTCCGCAAGTTTATTTCACAAGAAGCCATGCACATTGTTAGAAGTTGGTATGCGTTCACAAGTATTATGTAAATTCATATTCGGAAAGTTATTTTTATTCCTTCTCACATGCTTTGCCATTGTATAAGCTTTCCTGCACTGCATTTTGTGGGGTAAAACAATCTCAAAAAATTATGGTGTTGGTACTTCATAACATGAGAAACCAACCACATGAGGCTCACGTTTCACTTGTACATAGTATTATAACATTCGTAAGCATGGCTCCCACTATTGGCGGCTGCTTTGATTCTCGGCATTTCCTTATTCTTTAAAACCTAAACTGTACGAAAAGAAAGTTGTAGAACTCATACACTGTAAACCAGTTAGTGCCCTTGAGGGTGCCTCACGTGTCTATAACACGCCTAAAATAGGGGTGTTTTGAGAAACCGATACACCCATGTCTTGGGTGTCTTGATTTGTGAAAACAGCCTTATTGTACGGTGTTAGTTATAGACATGCGAATCACCCTTAAGACTGCAAACTGGTTTACACTGTAGGCTATATGGACTACAATTCATTATGATGCGCCTTATAACGCCTTCCACAAGCCGGACGTTTTCGTGACGTGTATAATGGCGGGTGACTACATCGCCTGAGTTGTATGCTATGAAACGGGTTATGAGAGACGCTATAGTGGAGAGCTCCGGAAATTACGACTGCCCGGGGCTCTTTAACGTGTTCTTAAGTCTAAGCACACGTGCCTCAACCATTCTCGCTTCCATCGAAAATGCGGACGTCGTGGCCGGGACTCCAACCACGCAGACCTTCAAGAGAATCGACCTCAATCCTTATGCTTGGAAATTCAAACCTTACAGCCTTGTCAATGCTTCAAACTCTCTTCAAAAAACGCTATACGACTACCGCGCAGTCGGAAGAGTCCAAATTACCGCATGTCTTCATTCGTGGCAGAGGCATATGTAAAATCGCGCCAGGCGTTAAAACGTGTGTATTTCGTGAAGAGGAGCCGTTTAAAAGGCCCGCCCGGTGCGAAGCTAGGACATTTAATCATCATTAGCAGCAAAAAGCATCAACAAATTAAGCAGTTGCGTAGGTGCTCGTCTTGTCCTTCGTATAGTGGTCTCTTCGCGTATTCGCAAAATGAAGAATTATGGCGCAGTGGGCGTTACACAACTCTGCTTGCAGTATAGGCATTCTGGGACAGCCTCACACAGCCAATGTTACGCGCAAAAGCTAGAGTTTCCCTGAGGAATGCTTGATGCATCTACCGAGAACCGAAGCCATGGGCAAGCAATTTAGAAGCCGTTGCGCACGGGGCCTGATAACGTGGTCGAATTCTATACTTCTGATGGCGAAGCTCAAGCGTACTCCAAGTTTCGAATGAAATTGAGTGTTTGACTGCATATTTTTGGCTACCGAAGCTTCAGTAGTGAATCCAAGTTTTATTACGTATTTTAAAGCATTTCTATACGTTTGGGCCACTTGTTAGAGACGTTATCCGTCCTGCAATTTTCGAGACTTTTTCTTGAACAGGCGATCACTTTTAAATGGGCTGTACAAACCACGTTGTAGAAGATTTTCATTGTGTGACCCTTTCACCGTCAGAAAAGCGTTACCTAATATAATTCAGCTCAAACTAAACGGGCCCTAATCAGATTAGAACATTGCAAGCTATACCAAACCAAGTGATTACGCGGTGGTGGTTGCGCCTGCAATCTAAGGAAAAGCCATGAACGTAGCCGCAAAAGCGGTCTTTATTTCAAACAGAAGATTGCACTTTAAGCAAAACAGGAATCACCTGCGCTTTTTAATTTAACCACGTGGCCCGCCTATGCTTTTTCGATCACTTGTCGACTAAAAATTGAATGCAACTTCATAATATGCTTTGAATAGTTGCAGCTTATGCGCAGTTGCACAATGGTTGTAGGTTGTACGAAAACGCTTCATGGAAACGTGGAACCTTGAAGTACGGGAGGTTGTCTGTTTTCCCTTTCTAAAGTGCCTCTATGCGCTCGTTCGCCTGCACTTATTGAGGCAGTATATCCATTTTTCAAGCCTTCCGCCAGCTTGCGGATCTCCGCAGAACTCCTTTGCAACTTGGAAGTGATGAGAAAAGGAATGTCGCCTGGGACATTCCTTGCTTAACGAATCCTCATATCCGCATATCGTATTCATTTTCTAGGCCTATCTATTATTTGTGATGTCTCACTTTATCCTTAATGGTTATTAAGGTGAAACGGAAGAGATAATGATCAGATCTACACTTTATTTTGTTCTTAGTGTTTACTGCTCAAACAGCTTTACTTGCACATTCTAGGTATATGCTTCTGCGACATCACAGGATCTTAGGGTTGAAAGGTTCCAGCGTCTGGCCATTCACCGTGATCGGGCTCTCGGTGAGGACGTGGCGGATCTTGAGCGGCGAGTAGCCGCCCTCGGAGTAGACGGCACCCACGAAGTCCAGGAAGCGCTGGGGCGAACAGTTGCGGCCACCGCCCTTCCCGCACATGAAGTTCATCAGCTTGACGCCGAACACGTGGGTGCGAGCGTCTTTGCAGGCGTCGTACACTTGCTGGGCGAAGTTCTTGTGCACCGCGTAGACCGACTCAGTGGCTGAGAGTTTCTCACCGCTGCTGCTGGTGCCGTTGATGGCGACGAACGTGGACTGTCTGGGTGAGCAGAAGGCCTGGCAGACGAGGTTCTGGAAGTTCTTGAAGCACTTGCTGTCCTTGCGCACGCCGAGGCTGGTGAGGGACTTGTACTCGGCTTTGAAGGCAGCCGCCTGCTCAGCGTCGCAGCAGGCGTACGCGGCCCTGCCGTCGACCAGCGCGGGGCATGCCTCCTCAAGGAAGCTGCTCTCGAGAGGGGCGGATTTACGCTTGACGGCGCAGGGCAGCGGCTTGTCGGAGTCCTCGTCTCGGCCGCAGAAGCCGTACGTGACGCACTCAGCCAGTGCGGACGACGCCAGCGTGACGCTTAGGGCGACGGCGAAAAGCCAGCTGCTAGAAGACATGATGACGCGTGCTTGAGCAGGGGACCTCGACGGTGCGTTGGCGGTGGCCACGTCCGGTCCTTTTATACGGCTTGCGATCACCGATTTACTCGCGTTCGCTTGGACCACAGTTCCTCAATAGAAGAGACCGGATGGCCTCAGTGGCTGATAAGCACTCGATTAGCGCGAGACCTTCATTAGACAGATACGCGCTGCGCCGACACACCTACTTACCTGATAAAAAGACAGCCGGAAATTCAATGGAAACGTGGATCAATTTCATTGTTCGCCCATATTGGTGTTATTCGTGAACTCGATACAGAAACGGGGTAAATACGACTACTCACAACTGGCCTACTATAAATGAAGAAAGCAACAGTTATCCCAACGAACGGGCATGTGACTCACAATTTTGTGCTGAGTGTTACAGATTCGGGTGTTCCCGCGCAATGAGCTCGGTGAAGGCTCGGAAAATGGCACTATACATTTATGGGAGAAATAAACAAATCGAATAAATATACAAATATGCAAAAACAGATAACTGCAAACTCAAACTTGCCACAAACTGATATATTAGCGCAAGTATTCCCATTAAAGGGGCACTGACAAGGAATTTTTCGATCATTTTTTTTTTCTTTTGCGTCAAATGATATAGGCGAAGCCCCCGAGAGCGTAGTAATTGTACTGATAAGTGCTAGTGTGCCACGAAAAATTAATTACGCTGCAGCAATGCTTTTAAAAGCTAGTCGGTTCCTACTGTATACACTGACGTCACGGATGGATGGATACTGAGCGTCCCCTTTGTAACGGGGCGGCGACGTGTGTGCCACCAGGCTCGCAAGAAAAAAAAATAAAAAGAAAGTTTTTTTAATGTTGACCTAATGTTTTACCAACGTCAATTAAATTAATCTTACTACAACAAAAAATAAATTTTCATCTCTGCATAATCAGGCAGAGTGACCTCATTTCCCCGCTATTTCTGTCGTTTATCTCTAGTTTTCTGCCACAAATACTCTAACCGTCTCTTACATGCTCCTGTCGCGGAACTGTTGAGCTTTCAATGTTTGCCCTAAAAACTAAAGCCTCATGTATAGGCTTGTAGCCGCACGTATACCTGAGTGGATATCGCCGCATTCAATCAGAACATGTTCCATCGCTTCCTAAGCTCCCCTATAGCATGTACATTGCCCTTCCTCTTTATTAAATCTCACTTAATGACTACGTGTTCTAAGGCAAACCGACCTCGCTTCAAACAGTAAAGCGCTTCCCTTTGAATTATCGTGACCTCTCCCACCTTATTTCGTTATTGCCTTTTCCGTAGTTACTGAGAACCGGTTTCTTTTCCCTCATTGTCGTCCAATAAACCCTCTCCACCTCTCTGACTTTTCGCATAATGCTCCTTGTTGCTATATCCCCCACACTGCCAGCCGTATATTTGCTGGCGAGCCCCCTAGTTATTTTTCTTCACTTTGTGTACACACTTTCTATACAAATATCTGAATATTTTCCCGGACCATCTACTCTCCTTCATTTTCCTAAGCTTTTCTTCAAATCTCATATTACTCTGGGCTTCTCTTACTTCAAAGCGTGTCCTTCCCATATCCCCCTTTACAGCCTCATTCGTCGTCTTCCCGTGAGCTCCCAATGCGAGGTGTCCCACAGTCCTTTGATTTACATCCATTCCTGATTGCACCTCTGACTTCATGCACACCACTGATTTTCCTAATGTATGCCCTGAAACCATTACACATTTTCATAGACCTTGAATGACTTCTTCGTACTTATTATATTTCCATAAAGCTCTATGCTTCATTATTGCAGTTTTCTTCTTTCGTTTGCTGCCGATATTTTTTTTCTTTACCTCCATGTATCTATCTTCCTCATTTATCCATGCTCCGAGGTACCTGTACTCGCTTACCCTCGGTATTTCTTGGCCCTGTATTGAGATCGCCTGGTCTTCGTGATCATTGAATACCATCAATCCAGATTTTCTTGCACTAAATCTCAGTCCTAGAGCTTCGCCTTCCCTTCTGCATATATCTGCCGGCCACTGTATATAGTCATCGTCTGCATAAAATAGACCTGGAAGCTTCTTCTGCCCAACATCACACCAGCCTGTTTCTGTGACAGATTAAATTAAATATAATGTTGCTACCTTCTAGCGCTTTTTACAACTTCTCTGTTGATTTACTTGTTTGATTACACACACACACACACACACACACACACACACACACACACACACACACCACACACACACACACACACACACACACCACACAGCCTATGTCGGCCACCAGAACCAACTTGAACAAACTTCCAGGCGGATTTCATCGTGACCATGTCTAGCCAGTCTGGCACAGTTAGTGCTGTCCACCGGAGATGCTTCACGCAGATCTCTCACGTTGCCGAGTGGTCACGGCCAACTACCACAATGCAGCCAACCCTGCTTACCTGACGCACTGTCGGCAGCTGCACACACTCGCAGTCATGGCAGAGTGCGTTGACTAACAACAGTGGAATCGGGGCTTTAGCACGCGAAAAGCTAAGAGAAGCAGAGGTAGTCGAAGTACAGAATACAACAGCTGGCCCAAGATAACGTGCTGTCTGTGCTTCCTTACAATCAGTTACTGCTTACGTAGAAGGTCGTGCCACGGCTGAAACGTAAGTCCATAAAGAAATTGCTTGCTTTCTCGTACGTGTGCCAGCTTTTCTTCTCATGCGTACCGCACCCACTGAATGTTTTTGAATAATATATATCTATATATTATATATATATATATATATATATATATATTATATATATATATATATTATATATATTAGTATATATATATATATATATATATATATTATATATATATATATATTATAAATCTGTGCTATATGCTTTTGTTTTTTGTTCTATCCCATTGCACAATGCCAAACACCGGCGAACCTTCTGTGCTGTGCAGTTCTGGGACGTTGAACCCCAAGAATTATTTTTCATTTTACATTAATTGCTTGTTATGAATTCGATAAATAAAATAGTGTATATGCCTCTCTTTTCAAAAGCAGTGAAAAAGGTGTAATGTCTTAGCATTCCAAGCCCGATCAGCGGTTAACTATTTATTGTTTCGTTTTTTTTTACCCTTTTCATGCGACGCGCAAAGATGGCAGCGTGCTGTTTGTTGTGTAGCACGACGCTACACACGTGCTGGTGATGTTTACTGATAAATGTTCTAGTCAAAATACAAGAAACTGAAATGTCATGCGTGGTTTAGCATCTTTTTTTTAGAGAGACAGGTTTATCTACAGAAAGGCGGAGTAGTAATGGAGGTGAAAGAAGAATACAGTTGCTTGTAAAAACAAGGAAAAGAATAGAACTCGAAAGGCAATTGAAATTCGGCCATGTCAAAGCATTGGGAATTATCGGGCTACAATATGTTTCTATAGTGGCAACTGGGATCTGAAAGGACTTAATTATTCTAAGTTTAACTTATGCTAAATCGGTACTGTGCGTGGTATTTGAAGTGCAGTTCAGTGTGGAAATATATCAGATGGTCGTTGGGAGGCTGTCACAGGATGTCTGCGGGAAACAAGAAGGGAACTGGTTCAGAAAAAAACCTGATTGGATATGCCTCTAAGCATGCAAGACCCGCAAACCAAAGAGTGCTTCGAGGCACGCCTGACAATTATGAACAATTATGTGGGTGGCGAGAAAATTGAAGTGCGTATATAAAAAAAATTGCACTCTGAGTGGAGAGAAAGAACGAGTAGGCTAACCAAAACATATTTCAATGTGGTTGGTAACGTAAAATAATTGAGAACTAAATGTGAACTCAAAGACGCATAAACGGCGCACTGGGTAGGAGGAATTAAGCGCGAATGAAAAATGAGCAGCAAAAGTATATTGGAGAGTAAAGAGTAAAGTGCAATGAGAAAAGCATTATATAAACTCAAGGGCAAGTGACGTACTGTTTGAGGCCAGATCAGAGTGCCCAATAACGCATAGCTATAGAAAGGAGCTTTCTAACGAAACTGATTCATGCATGACGTGTAGTACGTATATATTTCCAGAAACTATGCAACGCGTGCTAGTCAAATATCAAAGTATCAATTATTATTCTAATAATCAATAAAGGAGTAAGACTTCCCGAAATATTAGGTTCCAACGACAACTTAGAGAGCATAAATGAAACTGCGGCAGATGCCATTAAAGAAGCGCTGGTGGCCGATAAGTATGAAACACAATCCATGAAAATATTTTGCGGTAACAAAAATATTTGGGTAGTGACAATGGTTACGAACATTGATGACATACTTTTACTTGTTTACAATACCAAAGAAACATTACCGACACTTTCATTCACAGCGTTAACATTCATGGCTGATATGAGCAGTTCTATCAACCTGGAATGTGCATGCCATTGTTGAGAGAGCTTGAGCTACTAGGAAATTGCCGTCATGCCATGTATTGGGTGCTAGTGCGTTGCATGTTATTGTGCTGTACTTAGAAACAACTATATCGTCTGGGTTGACGCGGCTAGCTATGGTACCTTGTTTTCGCAAAGGTAAAGTAGGATATTTTTGTTTACCCTTTCCGTTTTCACTTCCTGTAGTATTACGCAGCTGTTGCATTCCAATAGATAAACATTGTCCTTCGACAATATTATAAAACCATTTAGCTTCGCTCTTTCGCCTATCAGCAGGTGTGCTGCTCGCAGTGAACACGTCAGTTACACAATATGTCTATTCACAGAAGCGCTTTCCCAACGCATTGCTTAGAGATGAGTGTGCTGCGCTCCGTAAAAAGAAAATACATATATATTGTAGAGATGAGCAAAAGACACAAAACCTGCTAGTTGGGCAGCTATTTCATTCCATGCTTCCGTTTTCTCCTCATCACGCTCGCCCAACGAGAATTCAGTATTGTAATTTCAGTGACAAAAAAAAAAAAAAAAAAAACTTGCCTCGGCAGCATTACTCACCACCTTGACCAGTCGTTTTTTTCAGGGAATGTGGGAGAATGGGTCTCGGTCTAAACCTCTTAGCGTATACCTGGAGAATCTATTGACCAATTCATAAACTAGAGGTGGCTACATATTACTACTGTGACCCACGGCCTATATACTACATAACACGTACCATGGCCTAAGGAGCTTCGTCCCTAAATATACGCCTTTTATATCTACCACAGTCCTTTGAGCGTTCCTAATAAACTGCAGAGATGTATCATGACCTCAGAATCTGCGATTAGTTCCTTCAACGCGTCGTTTCTAAGCGTGCATTTCATTCGGCGCGTTTCTTATTAGAGTATGTGCAATTTCGTCAACGCCAAACACACCCTCCAGTGGCAATCATATACCAAAGCGCCAGTGTCCCTCATAGCATTAATTGATACCAAAAAATTTGGCAGATCCACGTAGAGTGGAAATTGGTGACATGTCAAGCATGAATGAGGAAGGTATATATGTCACGTCAAAATCAGCACAACGTTACAAGGTGAACGTAAGTTATGCCGTACATGACTTCGATTCCAGCCCCGCCGTGGTGGTCTAGTGGCTAAGGTACTCGGCTGCTGACCCGCAGGGCGCGGGTTCAAATCCCGGCTGCGGCGGCTGCATTTCCGATGGAGGCGGAAATGTTGTAGGCCCGTGTGCTCAGATTTGGGTGCACGTTAAAGAACCCCAGGTGGTCTAAATTTCCGGAGCCCTCCACTACGGCGTCTCTCATAATCATATAGTGGTTTTGGGACGTTAAACCCCACATATCAATCAATCAATCGACTTCGATTCCATGATTATCTTGGTTGCGCCTGGCATTTGTGTTCATCGTCCCTTCACGTTACGTAACACCAAATTGCATTTATGTTAAGCTAGAGGCCGCGAGTGCACTATGAGCGTAGCATGTAGTCATGTTTTACATGACACGCATATCATAATTACCATGTTTGGACGAGTAGTATACCTTCGTCATCCATGCACGTCACGTAATGCCAAATTTGGTATATGCGAAGCTAACGAAACGGCCGCGAGTGCACTATGAGCGTAGCATGTAGTGGTGTTTTACATGACACGCATATGATGATTATCATGTTTGGACGTTGTCACAGAACGAGCGCTAAAAATGGGCGCGCCGCCAAATTCTTGCGATAACGGGCGAGAGAAACGCCGCGAGGTCAAAAGAAAAAAAAAGAAAACAAACATCCAAGGCTCCCCGGGCGCGCGCTCTCCCCGCGGAAGCGTGGCTTCGCCGACGAACCTCCTCACCCCACAGCGGCGGCCGGGCAAGCACTGGAAAGTTCCAGAAGGAAATAGGCGTAGTCATACCGAGTTGAGTCATCTGTCGGGAACGGCCCCCGTACAGTCTCGCGCCTCTCCCCAGCCTTTGCTGCGTATCGCGCCGACGAAATGACGAGAACTTTCTGGAATGTGGCGCGGAAGGTATTTAATCGAGCGGCCGAGACGAGAGAGCAGGAGAAGACGGAAGTAGCGCCAGAGTGCGTAGGGATTCCGCCGTGTAGTCGGCGAATGTTTTGTCCGTAGGGACGAAGCAGGAGATGAAGAGGATTTCCACCTGTTGGGTGAAGGCCCGAGCTACAGGCAAGAGAGTGTGTTTACCGCTACCGAGCGAAGACGCGTGGCGACAGCTGCGTGTGTGAAGCCGACGTGTTCGGGCGAAGAAGTTTGAAGCTTGAAGAGTGGCCAATTGAAGACGCGAGGTTTCCTGGAAGAGAAACTTCAGGGGGCAGCGGAACGACAACAACGCTGGACTTTGAGTGAGTGATTCTCGGAAGAGTATCATTCAGACTTTTGTTCCAAGGACTTTGGACTGAATAGGTTTTCTATCTCTTTAGTCTGTAAGTGTCTTGGTTGTTAAATGCATGCGACTGCATTGTAGTGTGAATTGTTGTCTGTGTCCATTGTTTTGAATGTGGCTGATTGTACTGTGTAGTACGTTGGTTGATTGGTGACACATTGTACTCAACTATTGTGGAGTGTGCATATTCGTGTATTGTTTTCGATCTGCAATTATTGAGAATATAATTTTGTTTGTTTATCAACTCTCGGCTCTGACTTGTTCTTTGGGCCACAGCCGGCGTCTGCTGGCGCGCCAATAAGGACCGTGCACTTCTAAATTGTCCACGCTTTCGTGGTGCGGTTCGGGGGGCCGATACTTCGGCCCTTAGAATTAGCCCGGCGATTGCCTCCCTAATAAACGGGACATGTGTGACAGACGTGTAATTTACCTTCGCCATCCATGCATGCACGTGACGTAGCCAAATACGTATACGTGAAGCTATCGAAACGGCCGCGAGTGCATTATGAGCGTAGTATATGCTGTCATGGTCTTACATGACATGCATGTCATGACTCAGCTGGTAATAAAAGCCTAAACAAAATCACACAAAGTCATATTACTTTCTGATATGTTTAAATAAGACAATCATTATTTGATTCGATGCAGGATAGTATACGGTAATATATATATATATATATATATATATATATATATATATATATATATATATATATATATATATATATATATATATATATATATATATCTATATATATATATATATATTCTCTTTAACATAGAAACAACCGACTTGTGTTTGAGCTTGATGGCAGTAGTTAGCGTTAACACTATCGCAAGATTTATATCAGACAGAACATTTGTGGAGTGATGAACACTACCACGTCCTGAAAGTAAAATCTCCAGGCCTAGGAAGTAATCACGTGGTAAAGCACACTAAAATAAGACAGAATAAAGAGTAACGTTTTCATCAGCTCTTCTGTGTCGAGTCTCGCAGTTTATTTTGGTAACTGTGGCAGATACGCGTCTGCATTAGCTTTCTGTGCGATGAAATGACGCTCGGGCTTGAAGGGCGTCAACTTCTGGCCGTTGACAAAAATTGGTACCTCAGTAAGGACATAACGAACCTTGAACGGCGAGTATCCACCTTCAGAGTAAACGGCACCCACGTAGTCGAGGAAACGCTGGGCGGAGCATTGGTTAGCCCTGTAATTTCCACACATGTAGCTCAACAGCCTTCTTCTGAAGACGCGGGTGCGGACGTCTTTGCAGGCGTTGTACACTTGCTCGGCGAAATTCTTTTCAACGGCGTAGACAATCGCCGTAACGGATGGCTTGGGAGAATTTTCCTCGGTGCGGTTAGCAAAAACGGCGACAAAATGTGACTGGTGCGGTGAGCATACCGCTTGGCACACAACATTCTGGAAGCTTAAGAAGCACTCACTGTCGCTGCGAACGCCTAGGTAGATGAGTTTCTTCAACTGAGACTTGATCGTGTACGCCTGCTCTGCGTCGCAGCAGGTGAGTGCCGTATGACCCTTGGTGCTGACCAGTGCGGGACATGATTTCTTGAGGAGTACACTGTCCATAGCGGCTGGAACACGCTTGATGGCGCACGGCAGCCGTTTTCCCGACATATCATCCGTTCCACAGTATCCGTACGTGATGCAATGAGACATTGTCGAGGACACCAACATGGCGCATACAGCGACTGTAAGAATACGGCTGGAGGACATTTTCACATGTGCTCGTTACGCAGTCCTTAACGGCGAATCAAGCAGAGTCGAAGTTTGGTCTTTTTATACGGCAGGCGTTGCACGAAGCATTTGTGACACATTAAACTTTGGCCCGTATGGAATCACATAGCCCAGCGACGTTGGACCTGCACAGAAGACGCTTCCGTAAGGTGTAAGCATGATTAGTTGTACGTTCTTGTGGCTCAACATGTAATCCTACAAGCAGTTCAACCTATAAAATTGTGCACTTTGCAACGCAGCTAGTGCGCAAGCAGACAGTAAAAACTTGCTAATTCTAGCTCATGTCATTCGAACTTACAGGTAATCCGAACTGACGCCCCGGTCCAGGCACATCTCATATTTATATTTATGAGGGAAAACTCCCAATAATTCGAACGCGTCGGTTTCTACAGCGGCTAATTCGAACTGGGATGCCTATGGCTTTCGTCCCTCCTCGCAGAAATTGGCCCACGGTTATTACAAATTGGCCCTGAATGGCCTCTCAAATTACTGATTACTTCCACCTGTGTGAAACAAGTGTAGTGATTGACTTTCACGCATAGTATGCTTTTATAGTCGTAAATGTCGTTTGTGTTCTGCTACTATTGTATGGTTGACGCGGCCCATTCAGGCAGTGTTAGCATTTAGCCGTGTCCCCGGGGACTATTTCAATATTGTTCTAAACAAACTAAAAAAATACTAATTTTTCAGTGCGTTAACTGTGCTATGTAAACAAACGTGCTTTAGAGCACAGACAGGTTCGTATGTTTTGGCATAAGGCTCGCTGCTCACGTAAATGCATTCGCTGCTTGTTTCCGGCGTATCACTGACTGGAAAATCCTGTTCGCTGTTAGAGAATCATTTTAATTTAAGAACTTGTCGTATCGCCCAATTTCCAGAAACGATGTCCAGAGGTGCCTTCTCTGGTTGCTCTCCTCACAGTGTGGTGCACGTTCATTCTAACACCTGAGTGATATTTGGAACACCGTTCAATTGAAACACTTTTATATTCCCCCTCAACTTCGAATTATCGATATGTTACAGTACTTTATCTTTTATATGCCTTGGCGTCAAGCATCTGCCTTGGTACCAACCGCCTTGGCATAAAGTGCAGATGCCATGTGCAAACCTGACTAAACTTGAGGCTTGTATAGAAAAAAAGCAGCAAGCTTAATAGGTCCAAGCTAAATTAACCTATTAGGGATCAAGATACATTACAAAGTCATCATCATCATCATCAGCCTGACTACGTCCACTGCAGGACAAAGGCCTCTCCCAATGTTCCGCCAGTTAACCCAGTCCTGTGCTTGCTGCTGCCAATTTATACCCGCAAACTTCTTAATCTCATCTGCCCACCTAACCTTCTGTCTCTCCCTAACCCGCTTGCCTTCTCTGGGAATCCAGTTAGTTACCCTTAATGACCAGTGGTTATCCTGTCTACGCGCTACATGCCCGGCCCATGTCCATTTCTTCTTCTTGATTTCAGCTATGATATCCTTAACCCCCGCTTGTTCCCTAATCCACTCTGCTCTCTTCTTGTCTCTTAAGGTTACACCTACCATTTTTTCTTTCCATTGCTCGCTGCGTCGTCCTCAATTTAAGCTGAACCCTCTTTGTAAGTCTCCAGGTTTCTGCTCCGTAGCTAAGTACCGGCAAGATACAGTTGTTATATACCTTCCTCATGAGGGATAGTGGCAATCTACCTGTCATAATTTGAGAGTGCTTGCCAAAATGTGCTCCACCCAATTCTTATTATTCTAGTTACTTCAGTCTGATAGTTAGGCTCCGCGGTTATTACCTGCCCTAAGTAGAGTTTCCAATTTGTAAGCTGGTGCGCACAAGCTTGGTAGCACCACAGAAAACAAAAGTAACACACACAGTCAACGGAATGAAACACACTCTAGGAGTAATGATGACTCGTAACAAGTAGAACGTGATTCTCCCTAAACGAGACAAAATATGGAACGAAACTACACGTTGTTGCTTTTGTGAGTAGATTCGTTGTAAATTGTTGCTTCGTTTATTGAATAATAGAAATATGGCTTTAGAACTGTTGTTGCGAAGAGAAAGCAGAAGGTTATACTTATGTGTTGAATTATTTACAGCAAGAATCAAATATATCTTGATTTTTTTTGCCCCAGAACTGTTATCGGTTAGGCATCAAAGTCATTATAACTTTACGAAAGGCGAAATCTTATTACATAAACTTGGCGGCACGAGAAAGCTTGAAGCAGGCAATGAAAAGAACGAATTTCAATATTCCCAGGCCTACAATATGAAAGACCATTTGCTATTCTTATTCAAACTACACCCATTGCACAATAGCCGTGAGCATTCGTGTGGTTTGAGTGAATTAGTGACTACCTTTATTCCGCGAATGATGGAGGAATAAAAATAGGTCTAGTATTGTTCAAGGTAAACTTTGCGAAAACACCTGCTCAATACAGCAAAAACGCTTTTCAAGCACATGACGTTGTTCTTTTTGTAGCCATTACAGTCCGCATCTGTTTGTGCCTTATTATATGTGTAAGTCAATTCAACTTTGGCCATTGCACCACTCCCAAAAATGTCCACAGTGTTTGCAGTTCTCGCCTTTAAACGGTGCACATTCCTTTGCACGTCTGACTTTTGACATATTTAATGTACCGCCAGTGCCTCGGTCAAAAGTATCCCGTAGTGTTCAAGCACTGTCGGCGTTCTGATTCTCCGGTCGCACGCCTTAAACAAAATATAGTATAGGAGCGTCGTCCTTTGTGATCTATCTATCTATCTATCTATCTATCTATCTATCTATCTATCTATCTATCTATCTATCTATCTATCTATCTATCTATCTATCTATCTATCTATCTATCTATCTATCTATCTATCTATCTATCTTCTATCTATCTATCTATCTATCTATCTATCTATCTATCTATCTATCTATCTATCTATCTATCTATCTATCTACTATCTATCTATCTATCTATCTATCTATCTATCTATCTATCATCTATCTATCTATCTATCTATCTATCTATCTATCTATCTATCTATCTATCTATCCATCTATCTATCTATCTATCTATCTATCTATCCAGCAAGTCACGACGGTGGCTAAAATGCGTGTTAAGTCTCCATATAACTATCACTATAAAATTAAGAGTTCCAAGGGTGAACGCCGAAATTTTCTTCTGTCACCAAACAGCTCAAAGAGTTCAACATCTCACTTGCTCACGACAGAAATTTGTTTTGACTGTACTACTCCCCCCGCCCCCCTTCAAATCTTTGGTTTCTTTGCAGTTTCGTGCAGGCGGGCAACCCACAGTACGCAGACGTTTTGAATAAATCAGCGGTGCATGTGGCTTTATCTGTAGAGACACCTCTTGGCACCTCTTGATCTGTAAATCATTCTGTTTGGACTGGTTAAAATTCCTGCCTTCCCTTCTCCTCCTGTTCTTTCTTTTCATGCAAATTGAACAAGCCATCGAACCGTTGAAATCACTCATATAGGAACGATTCGCACACTCCTCAACAATACCAGCAACCCCATATGCCGCAGGCGTGCTCCAAAATTTGAATACACTGAAACTAGACATTGCGAGCCTTCATAGACATCGCAAATTCTTTTGTGTATTACCGCACAGTCACAGACCTTTCAAAATAGTTCAGCGTTGTGCCAGGCTGTGAATCTGTGCAAAACACCACGACGTTTGTGCATGTGCGGCTTGTTTATTTTTCACCACATTATATATTTTTATGTTTTTCTGCATGCTTCCCTTTTCTAGAGTGCTAGTAAGCTAACCCTCTCACCTTTCTCTACTTCTCTTCCTCTATGTTTTAGCCGTCATCGCTCACATTCTCTAGCCCACATTGCCAATAAAGTGTTTGGACAGTTTCTTTAACCCAGATAGAGAGATAAGCATTCCCTTTGGCACTTATAGGAAATAACGAATTCAACTCACCCGAAGCATCCACGCCATAGTTTACAGACCTTGCAGTTCAATAGTGCTGGAAATGTATCATACGCACAGATTGCTCACGCTTGAATATCGATGTGTTTTGTTTAAAAACGCCTCTCCTAATACTCTCCGCACAGCCGTAGCGAGCTAGACACCTTTCGCTTAGAGATAACGCGGTTCTTTTTTATTTTTCACTTTCCCTTTGTCTGCCCCAAGCAAGTATGCAGCTGCGGAACACTTTGTACGACGCCGCAATGATAATACGTGAGTATTTATAGGTTACTGTAATATTTGCGCATTGTCTTGTCATCACATTTTCGTGGCCTAGCGAACACGGCAATTCTACAAGAGGTTTATCGTTAAAGGCCTGCAGTGTTCTATAGAGAGTTGAGTACAACCAGAGCCTTTTGATACTTCTTTTGGTCACTAAACTGCAGTCTGTTTTATACGAAGCCAGCGGCCACCGCTAGAAGCGCTGCTGCGCCTGAGAGGGCATGCGAACGCTGCCATTGCTGAGGTTGTGTGAGAACAGGAGGAGGGGAAGAAACTTTATTCAGGAAAAAAAAAAAAAGGAAGGTAAATGCAGGCAATTGTGGTCGGGCCTTCAGTCCAGGGCTCCGCTAGCACGAGCGGCGGACAACAGGTGGCACAGGGGCTACAGAATGACTGCGCGTTAGGTATCAAACGATGGTAGTAGTCGGAAGCCGGTCGGCAGCTGATACATGAGTAAGATTCAGAATAACCGACTGTAAGGTTTGCGTTGCGCATGTGTCGTACGCTATAACCTCTTGAGGGCTCCTGTTAAGTGACGTCAGTGAAACCACACCCGCAACGCCCGCAAGCTTTGCGTACGGTATTCTAAATCTTTTGTCTAGATGAGGTCGAACTATGGAGCTTTACAAGACCCGGCTAAGGCAGGTCAGCTTGTAAGCCCCAAACTTCTACTTGTCAGTGTTCGCTAACATTCTATGCTCCGCAAGTGACTGAAAGACGGATCGCAAGTGCACGTCGTGTTCC